GCATAAACTGAGACGTAAATGCAATAATCCTAACTTAACTATCATGAGAGGAAAAGGAAAATGATGCAAGTATAAGAGCTATCAACACCCCGAAACTGCCTTTTAGCTTGTCCCCAAGCTAAAGCCAACCAGAGGGTGAGGTTTGAAAGCTAAGGTGTAAATTCAATCGAGAATGTCATTAAGTAAGAAATTAATTCAACATCTAGGTCAACACTTGTGAAATGCAAATCGGATCTTCCCTATTCAAAAAGGCCTTAGCCATACCCACCTCAACAACGATGAAAAATCCTGCTTCAGTTAGATGCTAATTCAAATTCCCTTTTTCCCTTAACATTCATTAGAAAAATTTAAAATTTGGATCATGCAAGTACTCGTCAAACAAGTGTATTGGCTAAAGGAAAGGCTGCGAGCTGAAAATGAACTGGTAGTGACAAGGTTAAGTTCGTAAGGGATTGCTCAAGGAAATCGACTTGCCTATTATGCAAAATGCTAAGGGAAAGACCAACGATGCATACAAGGGTAAATTGTCATCTACCCGTTCCTATATATCGACTTCCAAACGTTCCCTTATCCTGATATCGACCAATCCTAAGCTACACATTTCTTCATGGATCCTCTTTTGGGGACTTCTTTTATTCTTTTTGGAGATCGGTTTCGGCTGTACTGGCTCCCTTCTTGCTGGCGTTTCTTTGATTCCACCTTTGGTGCGTGCTAGGCCGGTTTTGACTTGTTTGATATTGGCCTTATTTGTCGCTTTCAAATTTGCCTTTTCTGTTTCAGGTTGAACCATCTTTTTAGCCGCCATCTCATTGTTTTGTGTCCCCTCTACGGTCCATGGTGATTACCCTTGCCCCTTTTCTTCGCGATTTTCCCAAATACATATCGTTATGTTTGAATATTCTCCCTAGCCCCATCCCTATAGTCACCTAACCTACGCTAGCTCAAAAGCGAGCCAGTGTCTACATGAGAATCTAACCTCTTCGGTCAAACCAAACACTTTTTGCCTAAGGGAGTCCGAAAGAAAAATCCTCACATTCTCTCGCAATAGTGTTTAGGTCTTAAAAACAAAGGTTTTGGTTTGGGTGGTCAAAAATACTTGGAATAGCAGAGAGTGGTAAAATGTGGAAAGAAAGTCCAAGTCAAATCCTATAGTTGTAATTCGAGCAATGCATGATAATTGTAATTCAAAATTTTTGGTTCAAGTTCAATGAGGGAAAAAGGTTCAAATCACAAAGCATCAGCCTAGACAAAACTCTAAACCTTGAATTCCAGGTATAAAGCTGCCTTTTACTTCAGTTTTCAAGAGATGTTCATTAAACAAGTAGCGACTAAGGCGTTGAATTCATAATTTGACAATGACACCTAAGCGATTTACACCTCAAGGAAACTGAAATTATGCAAAGTTCTAAACAAATGCAAGTAGATGCTTTCTTTTTGTGAAACAACTTTTTAAAATTTTTACCAATTTTATTTGTTTTTCAATGTACATAGATGAATATACCTAAAGCTACATACATGCATGTAACACATATGTATACTCCTCCAATCTTAAATCACACGGTCCCCCTATGAGAGAAATAGGTGAGACTATAGCAAAAATATCACTCAAAAAGCAAGTAAAAAAGAAAAATAAGTAAAGCTATGTACAAGGGTTGGAGTTTGGTACCTATCAACCAGGTCAGGTAAAGATGAGCTGTACTCACTGGAGGAGCTCGTGGGGTTACTCGATATGGGGGTAAGAGACTTTGTTGCAGCCTTATTCTTGGACCCCATCTTATCCACATACGAGGATTGGCTCAGTTGTACAACGATGTGATGCATCAAGATCTGGCCGGTGGCTCCCCTCGCTGAGAACTTGAACTGGTCTCTGCCATCGTCCTCGTGCTGTCACCCTCGTCAGAGTCACTCTCGTCTGACTCCCCTTCTTCTTCTTCACTGGTGAAGTTCTCACCCGCCTTTGAACAACACGATATGGGAGAGGTGAGGATGTTGAGCAGCTGAGCCTCTCGGTAAACGTCTTCACTTGGCCCGAGAATTCCTTCAACATCTTCACCAGCTTTTTGATGGTCCGGTCTTCCCATTTATTCAATCTCTGGAGTAAATTGACTTGGGTATGGGCGTTCTTCAGTGATCTGTCCGAGGCTAGGGTGGTGGGCTGGAAGTGATACCTCTCTGACCCTTGCAAGGGGAGCCATATGCATCAGTTGATTCATTATACCGCTCGATGTGGCTCTCATCCGCACTATCTTCAGTATTTCCTTGACATCGTGGTTGAGGTCCGACTTCTGGCATTGGGTGAGGTCTGTGAGTGACTAAGTAACCAGCATGTGGTTTGAAGTACAGGCTATTCGGAGCTCGGGCGTCTGTGAGGGCAGGATTGGGGAGGAGGGCATTATCGACTTGGTTAGATGGCAAGCTGAACAAGTACTAGTGGCTACCTCCCATCTTTCTCCGAGGTAATCCATCTTCTCCAAGTACTTGATGTCTATCCATCCAATCCTGTGGGTTTTCACTTCCATATCGATATTGGCCCCTCGTAAGATGGCCATTACTATGCCCCCACATCCAATCTGAGGCTTGCTGCTCGGTGTAGTCGTTAGCTACGACTTGTACTTGAGCAACTCCTTGAGCAACACCGTGATAAGAACGGTTCTATCCATGCTTCCTTTGAGCTCAACCCCGAGTTGTGTTCTCCTAAGGAGATTCACCATTCCATCATCAATGATCTCCAGCTTCTTTGCTAGAACGGTGCCACACTCTTTTCTAGAGAAGAAGGTGTTTGCAATCGCCTTATGCACGTAACACAGGGCATGGTGCTTTATCCTTGAGATATTAGTCACTCCCAGACGCCAAGGACCAACACAAAGAGTCTCCCATAATGCTTCAAATTCTTCCTTGGGGATACCTAGAGCTCATCCTCTCAAGTTCATTTGACTAAAACCGAATATTTCCTCAATATCAGCGAAAGACATCCGATTAGTGGAACCACCATATTTGAACCGGATTCGCCCATCACCATCTTCCTCTGGATGCTCCTTACCGTACTTTTAGAAGGCAACATTGAGTGAGGCAAGGCACTGGAATGTAGCCTCGTCGTGAGAGAGGTAAGCATCCTCCATAAACGTCTTAAGCCCCATGGCACTGAACAGAACTTGGCAGTCCTCATAGGTGTGGAGCTTGACCATCATGGCATCATGTGGATACCGAGTAGCCTTCAACTCCATTTGCCCGAATGCGGCTCTCATCTCACTCAAGTCAGGGGCAGAGCTCGTGCTCCTCCTTGTTAAGACCCAAGGCGAGGCTCTGGTCAGTTCATTGGCTCGGGAACTCTCTCCTCTCAGCTCGAGTGGTTGCTAGTGCCCGTGATTCTCCTTCCACTTCTTCTTGGTCCGTCCGACATTGTACCTATCAAAGGAAATTCCCGAAAATGCACAAGTACTTGCTTTTGACCAGAAAATGTAAGAGATTTGGCTTAAGGCAAACAATACTAGAATTCTCTATTAATGACTAGAGTGAATCCTCCTATGCATACAATCAGTTTTTAAGCAAAACTAAACCCGGATCCAAATTGTTAAAATATCAATGAATAACGACAACAACAATTCGAAAAATTAAGAGAGTAAGCATGATTAATTTGGAGATTTATTGAGAAAACCAGACATTAACTCGAACAGTCCTAGGTAATCATGCTTCAGACTCATCTCTCTCTCTCTCTCCTAAAACCAGATGATCGAAACGAAATCTAACATTTTAGCGAAGTCAAACAAACACTTAATGGATTCACGCATTACATAGCCTGATATCAAAAGGAAACTGTGTGGATGAAGCAAAAATGCGACAAATTCTAAAGTTCTTTGAAAAATTGCAGACACAAAGTTCCCAAGTCTTTTTTATGGCGATGAGAGAGAGATGTTCTAAGTAAGAGTGAGGGTACTTATAGAAAATGAAATGTGAGGGGAGTGTTGGCTTTCTTGGTAGGTCCAAAATATCCGGTTAATCCCTAGCAAAGTATTACTTGCCTTATCCAAGAAGGTGGGCCATGGTTGAGATCTTTCTTGGATAGGGCTTGTAATATCCCTTATTTACCTTTCGGACATTATCGTCGTTGCACCGATATGGTTCCCCGATATATGACCACAGTGTGGCTGCACGATATGATACCCTATTATAGATTGCCTTGGCTCGGACTCCACTCTCTATCGGGTTCCTACTGTGGTATTTGCCCGATGCAAATTGTCGTGAGGCTTTATATCAGGATTGACCCCAATGTAACACCTCGATGCAGTGCCAGACAATCTTTAAAAACGTGGGATTCTTGAATCCATTTATTTTATCTCTCCTTATTGAATCTGAAAAACACTTACTAAACTAAAAGCATTAGTATACACAGGATAAGCTTGGAGTGCCTCCCAAGAGCGCTTGTTTAGAGTCCCATAGCTTGACTTTCCTCATTATTTTCTAACGGTCAAGGGGGAAATGGTTACCTCCAATTCTCTTGGGAGGATCCTTAGATTCCTTAACAATCTCATCAAGATCAGCCAAAGACACATAGGGGACTCCCTCCTTGCTTACCTCGTTACCCTTTTTATTGGTCGAATAAGTGTTTTTCATCACCTTGAGGTAAGCAAATGGAGCGGTCTTACCTTTACGTTTTTTTTTGAATAGTACTTCACCATTAGCAGAGAAAATAGGTTTAAAGATTTTTCTGTCCAGAAGAGCTCCAAGTGATGGACTGTTTGTCGTGGTCAGGTGAGGTGCTTTCATCTTTTGTGGTTTGTCACGGCTGGCCACAGTTAGCTACTTAAACAGGGATTGCAGATAACTTCAATCGAAACTTTCTCCTTCGTAGCAGGCACTAAGGGACGGATTTTTGGCCATCTTTGGGGTTTTTCGGTTCAATAGAGCATATCCGTTTCTTGCATTTCCCTTTGGTTCCCTTGGTATCAATGGTCATCACCACGTTCCTTGCTAGACGCAGCTCCAAGGTCCCGGTTTTGCAGTCAAACAGACATCCGGCTGATGTAAGGATGGTCTTCCAACAAAATCTTCTCCTCCTCGTCTTCTCTAATTCCAATTACCACGAAATTGGTGGGTAAGAGCACATTGCCGATCATGACAAGCAAGTTAGTCAGCTTTTCTACTGTCTTCCTTTCGCTTCCATCCGCTAGTCCTAACACCATGTCGATGTCCATGTAATGGTAATAACTGAGATGGTTGGACGTGGCAAGAAACATCACATTGAGGCTGGCTCCCAGATCAAATAAACAATCTTCGAAGATTGTGTTCCCGAGTCTACATTGTAGAGTGAACGATCCTGGCATAAATAGTTGTTCCTCCATTGGATTCTTTTCTAGCGTAACCATGTCCCGTTGCATCACTCTGCAAGCTTCAGTGTAGAGTCTATCCTCGAAAGAGAGAAGGAAGGCTGGTACGGGCTTTGTCTTGTCAAGATCCTTGCAGTTCTCTTCGACTTGGCGCAACAGTTCTACCAGCTTTTCTTATTCCTCGTCGAGGTTGTCCCTTCTTCTTTGGTTTACGCATTGTCGCGGTATGTAAGCTTTGAGAAACACCTCGGCTCGTCTCTCTTCAGACATCCCTTGATGTCTTTGCATGACCTCGGTTGCAGCTTCCTTAATATCGATGTCCATATCTCAATACAATCACCCCGATTGTACATCAATATGCCAGTCCGTACGCCGAATAAGAAGTCCGATGAAGCTGCACCGAGGAGTAACATCGAGCAAAACACTTCAGGTTTTGCCCGATATGAAGACCATCGACTGATTGGAGCACAAGACAATGGCCGGTACGAATCCAAGCCTTATCAGACGTCCGAATGATATTACCATATATTTTGCATGCATTTAGGATAGTTTTTCATGCATTCATCTTGCACTATAGGCTAGTTTCTTCCATTTGTTGCATTTTAGGTCCTAGGTCTCTTTGCATTCGCATTTCTGCATATTTCTTGCACTTTTGCATTATTATCAGGTTGTTTGGAGCACTCTGGAGTTGTGGAGGTTATATGGACGTGAGAAGGATCAAAACGAAGCTTGCGGACACTTGGAGAACTCAGCCATGCATGCAAAGGACCCGAGATCGAGTAGCAGATCGAGCAAGGCAGGTCGATCTAGACAAGATCGACCAGAAGATCGAGTGATTTAAGTCGATTCAAGGGGAAGGATCGAGACCAAGATCGAGAGAGGAGATCAATCTCGAGTACGGACGTGAATGATGCCATGCAGAACGAGAGCAAGATCGAGACCACGACTCAATCGTCCAAAGATCAAGTAGAAGATTGAAGGAAGTGCTCGATCCATCCAACCAGATCGACTTGAAGATCGAGCAGAAGAAGGCGATCCATGAAGAAGATCGAGTGAAGTGATCGATCTCGAGATCGATCTCTGGAGCCTTATCTGACCAGCTGGTTTTTGGCATCTAGTAAGGGGACCATTTTGGAGTTGTTTGGCCATTTTAGGCAAAGGGGGCGATCACTTTCTGTTATCCACGCTTTGTCTTTTCTTTTTTGAGTCTTCTTGTAGGCGATTCCACCATGGTTAAACTTTAAGCTTTTTCTTGTTTTTGAACTTGAATCTTTTCAATATTAAGCCGTTTTCCTTTAATCGCTCTTTAATCATGCTTAGTTTATCTTTCTTAACATTTCAATCGGTTTTTATCATGAGTAGCGAGTAGTTTTTCTTTGGGTAAGGGGTTGAGGCGATTCAAGGGTTTAAGGGGTTTAAGCTTTTGAGTTTTTCTTGTTCTTCATTCATTCCTTTTTAGGATTTTGGGGTCTTAAGGCTTAGGGAGTCTTGGAAAAGATCTCTATGATTCCAGGGCTTCTCTTACCTTGACCGGATTCAGAGATCCTTGAAAACCAAATCCTAGAAACTAATCTACCCTCTCCCAAACGCCATGGATGTAGAGGAGGTTAGTTAAGCCATTAGTTAAGATCTGTAGTCCATGCTCTTCGATCTCTTTTTCCACCAAAAACCATGGGTTCGGAGAAGAGATTGAAGAAGGGAATCATACCATACGCCATGGATGAGTCTATTTATGATTCTCAAGGCTTAGGGAAAGCTCATCAATGAGTAGATCTATGTGTTTTCAAACCAAAGCTTGACCCTTGAACACTATTGAATATGACCCTTGATACTAAAACCTCTTTTAGCATTTTTAAACCTCAAGTAATCATCTTTTAGTTACAAAGGTTGCATCTTGATCATTAGAAGTCATTTGTCTTAAGTTGTTAGAATCGACCTGTTTGACCCGATTTAGCTCTCGATTTTTAGTTATTAGTAGAATTGAATTTTTAATCTTCTGCTTTCTCATAGTAGTAGTTAACCCTCTTCCAGGGATTTTAAAATAGTTTTCATAAGCATTTGGTCGTTGCATTTAGTTTTATTTGATTTTACCATCTATATACTCGATTCTGCTTAGATTTGCTTTACTCTTGCATTCCTAGTGTTCTTCCTGCTTCCTAGGTTGGATTGACACCTTTACTGCTATACTTCATCATTACAATGGTTTGGGTTTTGATATTTCACCTTGCTAACAATCTGTTTATCAAATGGCGCCGTTGCCATCTTAGGATTGTTAGGAAGCATTAGGATTTGGGGTTTAGTAAAGACTAGGCCTTTAATTTCATTTGGTTACTAATCTCTTTCTCTTCACACTTGTATCTTTCAGGTACATGAATGTGCGCTCCAGGGGTGATAACTATCTATTTAAACCCCTGGACAATATCCACCAACTCGGAAGTTCAAGATCGAGAAGAGCAAGAGAGCAAGCTCAAGCCTTTGAAGAGATTGTGCAAGCTGGTACAATTGACTTTGAAAGTATGGCTGAGCAGGAACATCCTGGGGGACCTCCACCAGCTCACGGTGCTATAGGAAGGGGTAATGGAAACCTCAACCACGCTGCTAGACCACCACAGATCATTGGAGCCGGCGATGCTCCAAACACTCATCATAACCGCTTTGGGATCACTCCTCCACCAGTCCAAAAAAACTTTGAGATCAAGCCTGGCTTTGTATCTATGGTTCAGAAGAACAAGTTCCACGGGCTGACAATGGAATATTCTTTGGAGCATCTTGACAACTTTGAGCAAGTATGTAGAATGATAAAGATCAATGGGATCTCAGAAGATGCTTTCAAGCTTAGGCTCTTCCCATTTTCTCTTGGGGATAAAGCAAGGCACTGGGAGAAGACCCTTCCACAAGGCACCATTACTTCTTGGGCTGATTGCAAGAAAGCGTTCCTCTCAAAGTTCTTCTCAAGCACAAGAACAGCTCGGTTGAGAAGTGAGATTAGTGGCTTCACTCAAAGGCAGAACGAGACATTCAATGAAGCTATGGAGCGGTTCAAAGACTGTACCATTCAGTGTCCTCACCACGGCTTCAGTGAAGAGACTCTCTTGAGCACAATATAGCGAGGAGCATTACCCAAGATCCGAATGTTGCTTGATACGGCAAGCAAGGGTAACTTTCTTGGTCAAGAAGTGGAAGATGGAATGGAGCTCATAGAGAACTTGGATTTGCATGATGGGAATTACACTGAGGACTACGACCGAGCACCTAGAGGTTCTGAGCTTGAGTCACACAAGAAAGAGCTCAAATCGCTCCTTGAGAAGATAGACAAGCCCGTGCTTGCAAATCAGAAGCATGTACACTTTGTGGGAGAAGCTGAAGATGTCTTAGAGGAGCTAGAGCTGAGCCAAGAAGAAGCTAATTAGGTTGCTGGTCAGAACTACAACAACCTTCAGGGTTATTCACAAGGATACCAAGCCAACAACAATCTCTCTTACAGGAGACAAACGTTGTGAACCTTAAAGATCAGGTGTACCCCTCTCAGCAAGCAAAACCGTTTGTACCTTACAATAAGGGTTTTCAACAAAATAGTGGATATCAAGGGCAGAGGCAAGGGAACTTTCAGGGTCAGCAACAACAGCAAGGCAACAAAGGCTACACTCCTATGTTTCCTCCCGGTTTCGTTCCACAGCAGCAACAAATGCAACCCCAACCTCAGGATCCGGTTCAAGCAATGTTTCAACAGTTGCTTCAAGGTCAAGCTTTTACAAATCAGAAGTTTGTCGAGATGAACAACCGGCTAGATTCTTCTCTTACTGACGTCTCTACACAGATCACCAATCTGAACAACAAGATCAAGCAGTTAGAGAAAGGAAAAGCTAGCTTAAGCGCTCAAGGAAGCTTACCTGGAAAGTGTGAGCAGAATCCCAAAGAGTATGCAAACGCTATTACCTTACGAAGTGGTAAAGAGCTTCCGCCGAGAGTTGCACCTAAAGCCAATGAGGACATTGTGATTCAAGAGGGGGAGGGTAAGCTTTCAGCTGATGAAGCAATCACTTTTGACAATGTGTGGATTGAGAGGCCAAAGAAAGGCAAAGAAGCCGTTGTAGAGAAAAAAAGAGGAGGTGAGCAAAGAGAAAGATGCATTTGTTCCTCCACCCTACAAACCGAAGCTTCCTTTTCCTGGCTGGTTCAAGAAACAGCTGCTAGAGAAGCATAGAGCAGTCTTTGAGAAGCATTTGAAAGATGTTGAGATCAACCTGCCTTTAGTTGATTGTTTGGCCATGATGCCTAAGTGTGCCAAGTTCTTCAAAGATACACTTACTAAGAAGAACAAGGAGAGTGAAGAAGTTTTGGTGCTTAGTGAGGAGTGCAGCGCCATCATTCACAAAGAAATAGTGCCAAAGAAGCTTGGAGATCCAGGATCATTCACCATTCCTTGTGCTCTTGGTCCTTTGAAATTTCAGAGCTGTTTAAGCGATTTAGGAGAAAGTATCAATCTCGTGCCCCATTCCATTGCAAAGAAGCTTGGTTTTACCAAGTTCAAAGAGTGTAGGATCTCCCTTGTGCTAGCTGATAGAAGCCTCAGACTTCCTGTGGGTATGCTTGAAGACTTGCCCGTGAAGATCAATGGAGTTAACGTGCCAACCGACTTTGTTGTCTTAGAAATGGATGAAGAGCCAAAGGATCCTCTAATCCTTGGTAGACCATTTCTTGCAACCGCTGGAGCCATCATTGACGTGAAGAATGGCAAGATTTCTCTACACTTGGGCAAGTACATCAAGCTAGACTTTGATATTAATGAAGTCTTGAAGAAACCAACCATTGGAGGACAAGCTTTCTACATTGAGCCTCTAGATGCTTAAGCCGATGAGTTGCTTGTGGAGTTAGCACAGGAAGATCACTTGCAGCTGGCCTTGAAAAAGGAGTATAGAGAGTTTGGTTTTCTGAATGATCAGACTCAAGAATACATTCATCTTCTTGATTATAGGAAAGTTGTGAAGGAAGATGAAGGCGGGTGACTAGAGATCGATCAAGAAATCGAGAAAATCACTCGATCCAGAACA